ATTCTATTCTATTCTATTCTATTCTATTCTATTCTATTCTATTCTATTCTATTCTATTCTATTCTATTCTATTCCTGTTGTAATTCTGTTCTGTTCTATTCTGTTTCATTTCTAGTCTATCCTATTCCTATTCCATTCTAATTCTAATTCTAATTCTAATTTATATTCTATTCTATAACTTTGGGGCACAATTGTGGTTGTAAGTCGAAGTCTACCTCTCCTTGTTTTCTTTTCTCTCAACAGCGAAAAGCCTGGGGCCTCCCCTGATTCCAGCAAAAACTTCGGCCGTGCCTCGGATTGTCAGTGGCCCTATAATCTTAGCAACTGTCACAACTGCAAAAAATGGGACGAGCAAAGATACATTTTGGTTGTCGCTCACCTCGCCCAAAACATTGATGACAACCACGATGCCCAAACCGGCAGGCTCTCCCAGAAACTCCACGGTTCATTCCTCAAGTAGCGGCTTTTCGACTCACCCCGCATTGAAGACGACGTCTTTGTCCCCGGGGACCACAGCTCCTCAGGAGCCTGACGTCCCCTCTTCTTCCAGCCAGACGAACCTGAGTTTGGTGCAGGGCCAGACTAAGGTAGGCAGATGGTCCGGGTACCACTTGGTGAGACTTCAAAAAGTCTCCCAAAATGGCACCTGAATGTCGGTCGGTTGCTAAACGAGAGCCAGTTTGGTCTAGTGGTGAAGGCTCCCAAGCTTGAAACAAAAAAATAATAATAATCTTCCCATTTTCCAAGGAGATATTGGTGAGCCAATGGTGTACTGCAGCTGCCAAAAAAAGCCAATACAGTCCTAAGCTGCATGAACAGGATAGATAGAATCATGATCACGTTTTCTGATTTCTGGACATTTTGGTTCCATGAATAACATTTCTCCTTTTTTTCCTATCCTAAAATTAAAAAAAAAAAATAGCAATACCTGGTGTTCTTTACTAATCTTGTTATTTTGTCACCATAGGAATATAATGCAGTTCATGTATGATTGCTCATAAAATCATTTTAATATAACATTAATATTGATTAACCAATTTGAAAGTGTGCTTGGGTATTTTGGAAACAAACTATGAGATTAGAAATCAGTTATAGTTTATATAGAAAATGCATCGATGTGGTCAATGAAAGGGTTAATATTCTGACTTCAAAACCCTTGTATTTCTATTAAAAATAGTGGGTTTTTTTTTTTTTAAAAAAAAAGAATCAAGATCACATGAAATGTTAATACCACTTTTTAATGCCTCGGTAAGGCCACATTTGGAACCCTGCATTCCGTTTTGGTCGCCACGATGTAAAAAAGATGTTGAGACTCTAGAAAGAGTGCAGAAGAGGATTAGGGGATTGGAAGATAAAACATATGAAGAACAGTTGCAGGAACTGGGTATCTTTAGTCTGATGAAAAGAAGGACCAGGGGAGACATGATAGCAGCCTTCCAATATTTGAGGGGCTGCCCCAAAGAAGAGGGAGTCAAGCTATTCTCCAAAGCACCAGAGGGCAGGACAAGATGCAATGGATGGAAACTAATCAAAGAGAGAAGCAACTTAGAACTAAGGAGAAATTTCCTGACATTGGGAACAATTAATCAGTGGAACAACTTGCCACCAGATGTTGTGAATGCTCCAACGCTGGAAGTTTTTAAAAAGATGTTGGACAGCCATTTGTTTGAAGTGGTTTAGGTATCCTGCCTAGGCAGGGGGTTGGAGTAGAAGACCTCCAAATTCCCTTCCCACTTTGTTATTCTATTCTATTCTAAACCAGAGTTTTGCTTTGCTTTTGTTGTGGCCCAGCCGAATACGTACTCACACCCCTCTGCCTTATTTTTTTCTCCCTAGATTGTTTGCCAGAATAAAATGCCCCCGAAGGAGAAGGCGATAATACTCTCCTTAAATGAATCACGGCCTTGTGTAAGTATCTCCTCAAAGCACTTGGATTATAGCTAATCTTCTATGAAAGCTCCTGGGCCATCTGCACTTATTTTCACCAGCACAACTAAGTGTGCAGCTTACACCATTTCTCCTAGGTCAGCATTATTTTATAAATCGGGGCATGCATGATCCTGAATGTGGTGTAGTTTGTGCAATGGGCATACTATAGGGAGCAAACCCAGAGTACCTTCTTATGCACCAGGGTTCTTCCTACCCCCATCTGACTTTTTTTTAAAATGGAAAATATTAAAGTTGGCAGCCTACACCGCGTGTTAGTTTGGGATAATGGTTTGGAGTTTCTTTACAATAGTTTTGTCGAGATTACACTATATAGAAGGAAGATGGTTAAATTGGTTGTTTGATTCAAAGGGGAGGATATATTTTATTATGTTTTTGATTTGGCTATCGCTTCCAGATTTTGGGCTTGTGATGAAAACAAATGAAACTTCGACTTTGGATTTGCCGGTTAGATAGATTTGTTGTTATAAGAAATAAGTAGTTATATACTTAATGTGTAAAAGTAAAAAGCTTAGGTTGTAATATTGTTATCTTGCACTGGCGCTAAAAAGAGTCAGAAGTCAATGTTTTTTTCTTTCTTTCTTCCCTTGTACATATTTTCTTGCCCCCTCTCTTTCTCCTTCCCTTCCCTTCCTCTCCTATTTTTAATTTTTCTTTGTATTTGATATGTTGACAAAACAATAAAAGTCATATTTGCAAAAGAGGTTACACTATGTAGATCAAACCAATACAAGTATACCACCAGATTTGAGATTCTAGGCTTAGACAACCTTGAACTACACCGGCTAAGATTGGACTTAAGCATAGTACATAAAATCATGTTACAATGTCTTACCACTTAATGAATATTTCAGCTTCAATCTCAACAACACAACAGCACACAACAGATATAAACTTAATGTAAACCACTCCAAACTTGACTGCAGGAACTACGATTTCAGCAACAGAGTGGTCAATGTCTGGAACTCACTACCTGACTCTGTTGTCACCTGCTCAAACCCCGACTCCTTTACCCTCAAGCTAACCTCTATCGACCTCACCCCATTTCTAAGAGGTCTGTAAGGAGGAGTGCATAAGGGCACCATCATGCCTACTGTCCCTGTCCTATTGTCCCCAATTGTTCGTTCCTATTTCATGTATTTAAACTTATGTTTATTCTTATTTCTATTATATTGTGAGCATTTGACAAAATAAAATAAATAAAGCAAATAAAGTACATATGATAGGAATACATTAAGGAAAAGAAGAGGAGACCAGAACATGTTAAAAGTGCATGCAAAAAAATAATAATGGAAAAAATACACTTTTATTTTAAGAAAATGTCAATTCTTCGGTGCTCAGCCTTCCTTATGGTCCAATTCTCACAGCCACACGTTCCTGCTAGGAATTTGACTTTATGGGTTTTTACCGGCAAGGTGATATCTCTGCTTTTTAATATGCCGTCTTGGTTTGCCATTGGTTTCCTCCTGAGAAGCTGGTTGTTCTGACCCAAGCTTCGTTCAAATTAGGAAAACGTACACTGTGTGTAAAAGCAAACCTTTTTTAACGCGATGCTGGGAATTATCTGCATTCCCAGCCAAAACTCATTAAACACAATTGTCTGAGATAAGAGCATGCCTTTCAGGGTTGCACAAGGCTGCCAACAAACAGACAACAAACATCCACTTAATTAGCAGATAAACCGACAGAAATTCCAGCAAAGACAAACCAGAGTCCGAATTAGAATCTAATGAATTTCTTTGCGTCCTGCAAAGAGCGCATCACCGAGGGCTGGCTTTTATCCCTTATGGGAGGGGCAATCACCTCCCAGCCTTACTCCCGAGTCGCCCTTGCTGATTCAGCTGCTCTCTCTCCTTCTAGCAGCTCTGCGCACACGCGCACTGGGAACAGGCTCCCCGGGGTCTTCTGCCTCGCTGCTTCCAGACTCCAAAGGCCCCAAAGGCAGCACCCCACTCCCAGATGGTCTTGGCCCCATCCCTGCATCGGATGCAAGACCCTCGTCCAAGTCCTCGCCAGACTCCCTGACCGGTTCCCTTTTGTCCTCACCCGTCCGATATCTCTACCGGCTGCTGGCGAACCACAACACTGGTGTCTTTCCATTTCGTGGCTGCATTTGCCGATCTTGGAGCCCCGTCACTGCTTCCATATCTTCTCCTTCTATTTGCCAGGAAGTTAACGGGACCAGATGTCATGATCTTACTGTTTTTTTAATGTTGAGTTTCAAGCCAACTTTTGCCCGCGTCTCTTTCAACTATCATCAAGAAGGTCTTTAGTTAGCTATGTCTTATTTGGGTATTTTAAACTAGACATTGGGTATGTCTAGTTTAATGAAAAGAAGTACTAGGGGGGACGTGATAGCAGTGCTCCAATAATTGAGGGGCTGCCCCAAAGAAGAGGGAGTCAGGCTATTCTCCAAAACACCTGAGGGCAGGACAAGAAGCAACGGATGGAAACTAACCAAAGAGAGAAGCAACTTAGAACTAAGGAGAAATTTCCTGACATTGGGAACAATTAACCAGTGGAACAACTTGCCTCCAGAAGTTGCTCCATCACTGGTGGTTTTTAAGAAGAGATTGGATAACTATTTGTCTGAAATGATATAGTCTCTTGTTTGAGCAGGGGGTTGGACTAGAAAGCCTTCAAGGGTCCCTTCCAATGTTGTTATTCTGTTAGTTCCTTTTCATTTTCTGTCATTTCTTCCTATTAACCAGCAACAGTCCAATAAGAAGTAATAACGTAACTTTTGCAAACTGCATTTGAATCCTTCCTATTATATTTATACCGTCATTTCTATTTAAGCATATTCCCTCTTTTCCTTCTCTTCATATAAGCAATTCTTAAGACATCATTGTTGAGTCAGTCCAAAAAACAACAACAACCCCACTGCATTTTATAAAAAAATAGCAACCCATTATTTTAACCATTCTTCTTTCTCCTAATGATCCTTAAATCCCTTTTTAAAAATTCTGTCTCGTTTCTCACACTCTCTGTGTCTCTTCTTCTCAAAATTCCCGGTATCTTTGTCAAGACTCTTTTCTTATCCCATTGTGGCTTATTTCAGGAAATCTCTTTTGTACTTCCAGTGTTAAAAATAAACTGGCCACATCAGTTTTCTGGTTTATTATTTGCACGTCTTTTTTAATTATTAAATCCTCATCCAGTGCCATTTGTAAAGTCCTTATTTCCATCCCTTTTCTTGGAACTCATTTTTGAAACCACACCCTCCAGTCAATTTCAATTTTTTTTCAGTCGAGCTTGTTTCTGTTCTGTATAGCTGTCTGACTCTTCTTCAAATAGCATTTAATACTTCCTCTCCTTTTAAGGTAGCTCTCTGGTGCCCCCTAGTGTCAACCTTCAAAGTCGTCTTATCAGTTGATTCACAGTACAAACAAATATTTTCCCACGAGAAAGGATCTTTTCAATTAACTTCAAAGTCTTACATCAAATCCATCTGAGCCCTTAATCCGTTTAAAACCAATGTTAATCTTCCTTTTGCTGTATATGCCATTGTTGTTACAAATCTTTAAACTTGCATTTAAACTTCTTTTTTTTAAAAAAAAAAGGATTAAAAAAAGACTCATCGGATGATTTGAATAGAACTTCCCCATTTCAAGATTGTCATTTAAAAAATAAAAAAAAACAGGGGGAAATATTAAACCTAAAATGATTAGGAGGTGAAGCTCAGTTGAAATGTAGAGACTCAACCTAAAGTGACATTAGCAGCTACCATGTTTCCCCCAAAATATGACCCGAAATGGCCAAGCAAGGCAGGTGTCGGGGTGTGCGAGGCCTGGCTACACCTGTCCAAAAGGTAAGTAGTAGGGCAGCTCCACACCTCCCCCCCCCAAATCCCCACCCTAGCTTAATTTTTACCTATGCACTCTGGAGTGGGTGGGGTCTTAATTAGGGCTTATTTTGGGGGGGGGTAGGGCTTATATTGGGTTCACGTGTAAAAATCAAGCTAGGACTTAATTTTGGGGAAGGTCGTATTTTCAGGGAAATGGGGTATAAGCACAATAAAATCCTGCAGGACAATTGCAAGCCAACCACAAAAATACAATCCCTGCCATTTGCTCCCCCAAAACAACACTGTCCGGAGTATGTACGGGTGATTTTGCGATCTCTCTTTACTCTGGAGATATTTGCGCCGCCCAAATCCCACATTTGAATGCTGTTTCAGCCACAGTGTGTCCCTCTATCCTTGTCAGATGTGAACAATCGGGAGCATATTGTTTGTGCCCAAAGAGATAGTCCTTGACTTATGACCACAATTGAGCCTCACATCTCTGTCGCTAAGTGAGACAGTTAAGTGAACCTGGTCCCGTTTTACGAGCTTCCCTGCAGTTAAGAGTTGTTAGGTTTAATCCCAGGAGTTGATAAGTTAGAAACATAGTTGGTGTCAGTGAATCGGGCTTCCCTGTTGACTTTGCTTGTTAGAAGGGTCACAAAAGAGGATCACATGACCCCAGGACACTGCAACCGTCATAAATATGAGCCGGTTTCCAAGTATCTGAATTTTGATCACGTGACCACGGGGAAGCTGCAACGGTCGTAAGTGTGAAGAACAGTCATAAGTCCCTTTTTTCAGTGCCCTTGTAAATTCAAATGGTCTTAAACAAATGGTTGCCAGCCAGCCAGCCAGTCAGCCTTCCCTCCCTCCTTCCCCCTTCCTTCCTTCCTTCCTTCCTTCCTTCCTTCCTTCCTTCCTTCCTTCCTGCCTGCCTGCCTGCCTGCCTGCCTGCCTGCCTGCCTGCCTGCCTGCCTTCCTTTCTTCTTTCCTGCCTGTTTTTTCCCACCCTCCTTCTTTCCTGCCTTCCTTCCTTTCTTCTTTCCTTCCTGCCTGCCTTTCTCCCTCCTTCCTTCCTTCCTTTTACACTCTCACTCACTCACTCATTCACTCCATTCTTCCTTCCCTCCCTCCTTCCTTCCTTCCTTCTTTCCTGCCTGTTTTTCTCCCACCCTCCTTCTTTCCTGCCTTCCTTCCTTTCTTCTTTCCTTCCTGCCTGCCTTTCTCCCTCCTTCCTTCCTTCTACACTCACTCACACACTCATTCACTCCATTCTTCCTCCCTCTCCTCCCTCCATTCTTTCTCCTTCTCCTCCCTCCATTCTTCTCTTCCTCCCTCCATTCTTCCTTCCTATTCCCTCCTTCTCTTTCTTCCTCTCTCCCTTCTCTCACTCCCTCTCTCCCTTCCCTCCCTCCTGGACCGAATGGATATTTTACTTCCAAATCTACCCTAAAATAAGAACTTACACCAAGCTGGTTTGACTTGAAACCCACCAAGGTGGAAAGGGGCAGGGAATCTCTCGTCTGTTTCTCTTTCCACCTCTCCCTCTCTCTCCCTCTTTCTCTCTCTCTCCCTGGGTTCAGTCCCTGGTTTGTTGATTCAAAGGCCATTACCTCATTCCGCAGAGGGATGTTAGTCTTGGATTTCCATCAGGATTTTAAATTGTTGAGCTTATTCAGCCTGGACAAATAAATGGGAAATACTTCAAAGGATCCAGAGCAGTGTTCCTCAACCTTGGCAGCTTGAAGTGGACTTCAACTCCCAGGGTTCCCCATCCAGCCTGTCTGCCTGTATCAATGGAGGTCATGGTGACTCTTCCGGTTGGGCTATCCCCTCCCAGGTCCTTCAACCCCTGTTCTTCTTCCTACAGAACAGTTTGGAGGGAAGCCCGTTGAAAGAGGTGCTTATGGAGGTGCTTTGCAAAACGTTGAAGCCCAACTACAACCAGAAGCGAGATGACTGTACAATTTTGCTAGCTTCGGACACGGAGGATCTGAAGAGAGTAGCTGTGATCAAAGCATCCGTGCAAAGTAGGTGTGATCGTTACTCCTGAGTGAGACTTAAAGGCACAAAAGCTGAGCGTCTGGGCCTCCTTGTAGGAAGCGCTCACGCTTGGGAATACCTAAGAGCACCTCTTTCTCCTCCTGTCCTGGCCACTTTTTACCGAGGCACGATTGAAAGCGTTTTTAACAAACCGCATCCCTGTTTGGTTTGGTGGCGGCAGTACCTCCGATAGAAAGTCCCTACAGAGAGTGGTGAGAACAACCAAGAAAGCTCACTTCCTGTTATTCAGGATACTGCTTATAAGCGCTATGTGCTTAGAGCGTGAAGCCTTTTGAGAGACCCCACACACCCACTTCAGGGTCTGTTTCTGTTGCTCCCCCTCTGGGGGGAGGTTTTGAAGTATTTCTAGCAAGATTACCAAATTCTGTAACCTGTAACAGGTTCTGTTCCCTATATGCCATCCATCCGGTAAACTCTCAAGATTAGTTTTTCTCACCATGTACGTGGATACATCTGAATTAGAGTGTGCTGTTTCTCTTTGTCGTATAATAGATGTGCATAGTTTTGTATTTATTTGCATAATTTTGTATTCATTCATTCATTCTGTCATGGTTATGTGGTGTATATTGGAGGGGGTGACCCTTGGAGAGCTTCATGCAAACCAAATTTCATTTTAATGTATGCCCATTAGTGTGACTATAAAAAGTTATTTGTTCTATTATTCTATTCTATTAATCTGCATCAAAAAAAATTTCCCCCAGCGGTCATCTTCACCAGTCTGGACTATCTGGGAATTTCATCTTGGGACTTTTGAAGCCAATGCTTGGTTACCCTGCTCGAGACTTAGAGTCTTAAGAGCGTAAACTATAGAAGCATAGGGCTGGAGGGGACCTCAGAGGTCTTCTAGTCCAACCCCCCTCCCCCCATGCTTACAGCATCCTGGTCAAATGGCTGTTCAGTCTATTTTGAAAGGCTCCAGTGATGGAGCATTCATAACTTTGGGAGGCAAGCCATCCCACTGACTCACTGTTCTCACAGTCAGGAAGTTTCTGCTATTTCTAGGATTTATCTTTTATTTATTCATTTGTATCCCGTCTTTATTATTATTATTTTTTTACAAATAACTCCATGTGGTGAACATTTCCACCACACCTTCTGTCAGGGCTCTGGCAGTTACCCCCATTTAAAACATGAGTCTCGAGCCAAGCTTCCAAAACTTAAAAAGGATTTATTGGGAGTGAACATGCCAGCACTGACTGAGTGTAGCCGACTCTTGAGACATATAATTCATTGTCTCCCTTGACCCTGGTTTCACCCACCCACCCACCCCCTGGGTGTATCATAATTCATATTCTCCAATGGGACTCATCCATAGCCCAGTCATCAATCCTGCTCTCCAGTTAGAATTTTGCGAAACTTCAGTCACCTAGTTACTATCTTTGAAAACTATTTATGGAATGCACTTTTGGTTTCCAAGCTGCCCCACTGCTCTTTCAAACCCCTTTCCCACCTCCCTTTCTGTTGGCAACTCTAAAAGGACCGTAGAAATATTTGATGAGTTGACACCTTCTACCTCCTGTTTTCCCCATAACAACATCAACCCCGTGAGATGGGTTTCATTTAACAATGGCAGTGAGTCACTTAAGGAGTGTGGCAAAAAAAAAAGGTTAAAAAAAAAGGACCAAATTCACTTGCCAACTTGTCTTGCTTAGCCATGGAAATTTGGGGCTCAATTGTCATTGTAAAAAGTTGGACAACTTTCTGAACTCTCATTCTTTTGATTACCTATCTAGCCTTTTTTTTCCTCCCTCCAATTCCTTTTTCCCCCCAATTCTCCCCCACCCTTCGGTGGAGTCTCCCAGGTAGATGGTGCTGAAGGTGGAGGATCTACACGTTGGCCAACATTCTGCTGCATTAGAATTAGAAATAAAGGAGAGTCTTTGCAGGTCAGGGTTAAAATGAAGGGTTCCTGGTGCTCTCTGAGCTTGGTGGTTTTCTTGCAGAAGTGTCATCTTGGGTCGGTCACCGGGAGCCAGAAGTTTTCTCTTGCTTCCTTTCGGACTCTGAAATCCTCAGGGAAGTGACATAAAAGCAGTCTCAGGGGCTGCCGTAAAGAAGAGGGAGTCAAGCTATTCTCCAAACCCCATGAAGGCAGGACAAGAAGCAATGGGTGGAAACTCATCAAGGAGAGAAGCAGCCTAGAACCAAGGAAGAATTTCCTGACATTGGGAGCAATTAATCAGTGGAACAACTTGCCACCAGAAATTGTAGATGCTCCAACACTGAAATGGTTTAGCACTTCCTGGCTGAGCAGGGGGTTGGACTAGAACCGCGGTTGCCAACCAGTAGGCCAGGGACCACTGTTGGTCCGCGAGAAGATTTTGGTGGTCCAAAGAGAAATGTCACTCCCAAAGCATCCCCCAAAGCAATTAATCCAGGCTGCACGGGAAAACAGGGCTTGCATCGCTTGCATTGCGAATAACACGAGGTAGTGAGGGGAGGGGGGAAAAGGGTGGAGGGGGGGAACTTGCCCCACGCGTCCCACGCACCTGTCCTGGCCACCGGGCTGCTTCTTTCCGCTTCTTTCTTCTTCTGCTGCTTTTGGCTGCACGCAAGGAAAGCAGCAAAAGTCTTTCTTTCTCTCCCCCAAATTCCAGCAGAAATGAGTCTTTGGGACCCTGCAAGGCCTCCTGCTCCAAGAGGCTGTGCCGGCAAAGACTCATTTCTGGCAAAGTTTGGAAAAGAGAAAGAAAGACTTCTGCTGCTTCTGCTGCTTTCCTTGCATGAAGTCAAAAGTTTTTCTCTCTCTCTCTCCCCCTGAGAACAGACCTGGAGATGGTATCCTGCGATCCCAAATAAAGAATGATTGATCGGTAGGAAAACGGGGTGGGGAATTTTCCTGCAGACTTTTTTGGGGGATTTTCCCAGGGTCTCTGGTCCGTGGGATTTAAAATTATGAGTTTGGTGGTCCCTGAGGTCCAAAAGGTTGGCGACCCCTGGACTAGAAGACTTCCAAGGTCCCTTCCAACTCTGTTATTCTATTCTATTCTATTCTATTCTATTCTATTCTATTCTATTCTATTCTGTTCTATTTAAAGATTCCTATTCTATTCTATTCTATTCTATTCTATTCTATTCTATTTAAAGATTCCTATTCTATTCTATTCTATTCTATTTAAAGATTCCTATTCTATTCTCAATAAAGATTTCTATTCTATTCTATTCTATTCTATTCTATTCTCAATAAAGATTCCTATTCTATTCTATTCTATTCTATTCTATTCTATTCTATTCTCAATAAAGATTCTACCTATTCTATTTCTATTATTTC